GCTTCGGGCTTAAGGTTTAGGGTTTAGGGCTTAGGGCTGAGGGTTTAGGGCTTAGGGTTTAGGGTTTAGGGTTGTATGAATTATAGTCTAAACTCCTTAAAGGGGTTATATAGGGGAGTATTATAGCGGCTATTAAGGAAAAGACCCTCGTAAACACCATATTCTATCTACTTAAGGGGGACTTAAAGGGGTTATATAGGGGATCATATAGGGAAGCATTATAGGGGGGATACGCAGGGGTTTAGACTGTAGCTCATAAAGGGTTTACACAGGGGGTATATGGGGGTTATACAGGGTTTAGGTGCTGTAAAGGGTTTATAAAAATGGCTTTCTTTTACGTTGATACAGGGCTTGTATAGGGGTTATTTAGGGGTTACTACCCAATTAATCGTGAGTCAACTGGCAAAGGAAACTCGAAAATGGAACAGAAGCGGAGATTGTACGGTCAGGGCTTTAGAGGTTCAGGAGGGCTTTAGAGGCTAATTTAAGGGTTTAGGGTTTTGTGCTAGGGTTCACGGATTTAAGGGGTTAGGAGCTCAGGGGTAGGTTTTAAGGGTTAGGGTTTGGGGCGTGGGAGTTATGGAAGCTCCCTCCATGTCTCAACGCATCATCCTTACAATTTCTTAGGATCCTCCGCTCATTGTGACGGAGCGGGCCGTCGCTGTAGTCCTTCATGCTGTCCCCGTGCACACATACCTGCCCCTGTGCAATTGGAAAAGTTCCGAAGAAACATGGAATTTAAGCTCTAAACCCCCCAGGCACAACCGTCCCCAGACCCGCCAGCCCCCTTAACCCTAAATCCCCAAACAGCCCCAAACGACTAACCCCCCTCTGAAGCCTCCTTGGAACATCCCTAGTCCCTGAACCAAAAAAATCTGCAGTATAGGTGTGCGCCCTTAAGTCTCTCTCAGGCGTGAGGCGGAGCTCGCCAAGTTGCGCCAGCAGGTGGGTATGCCCCAAAATGGGTAGAGTATGGGGTGGGTGTAGGGTCAAGGGTTGGGGTCTTAGGGTTTAGGGGGTTTTGCCGTCTGGGGATTTCGGCCGGCATTAGGGTTCTTGCATTCCGTGCTGTTTTGTGTGGTGGATAGCAAAGATCTTCCGGCAGTTACCGGAGCGTTATTCGGTGACATCTTTCAGGGCAAGATGGTACAGTCTCCAACGGTTGGGTTCCCATTAAGCATGTGTCCTCTATGTGCGAATTTCCCTCATCTTTTGGACGGTAGTTGAGGACAAACTCCCATCCATATCCATATCCCTAGAAGGTACTCACTTATCTTGTCAACATGCCTTCAGTACTTCCTAATCCTGATGGTACGCTTCTAGACCCTGAGCAAAAATCCGGTACATATAGACCTTCCACAACCCCTTCCTCATCCTTATAGAGACCTTCCAGGCCCTTAGTTCCTAATCCTTATGGAACCCTTCTAGGCCTTTAGTTACTAATCTAACCCTTCTAGACCCTTAGTTCCTCATCTTCTAGAACCCTTCTAGGCCCTTTATTCCCAATCGTTATAGAACCTTCTAGACCCTTAGTTGCTAGTCTCCTAGAACTCTTCTAGACCCTTAGTTCATAATCCTTAAACCTTAAACCCTAAACCCTATAAACCCTAAGCCCTAAGCCCTAAACCCTAAACCCGAAGCTAAAAAATCCTTAGTTCCTAATCCTTAGAGAACCCTTGATGTGCAGCCGAGCACCCAGGTGGCCATGGAGAGCTTGGGGTCCACCACCTCAGAGCCTTCCAGCTGAAGGGTTAGGGGTTTAGGGTTTTGAGGGTTTAGGGGTTTTGGGTTTAGGGATTTAGGGGTTTTGAGGGTTTAGGGGTTTTGGGTTTAGGGGTTTAGGGATTTAGGGTTTAAGGGTTTAGGGATTTAGGGATTTAGGGGTTTAGGGATTAAGGGTTTAGGGTTGAAGAATCCTTTTCCCCTTCATCGTTATAGTAATTGTGAAGAGTAATAGTAATGGTGGTCATTAGGTCATAGTAAATAGTTACAGAAGGTAGTTATAGTTGTAGGTAGCAATACCTAGTAACGGTTCGTGATACCTAGTATTGGTAAAGGGCATAGTTGGTAATGGAAACAGAAGTCGAAACAGTAAGAGTTATTGTCATGGTACTGTGAGGGTAACTACTGAATGCTTTGCTACTGAATGGTTTCGGGTTTGCTACCGATCCTAGGGTTTAGCGTTTGATGGAAATGGAATGGGAGCTGGGATTTTGCAAGGGGTTATTACAGTTTTTTTGTTCGGGATGAGATCCCCCTGAAGGTAAACCCCAGATAATTACTATGTAATTAGGTACCTGACAGGGAGAGACCCAAAAAAAGCCCCAAAATGATCAGGGGCAACTGGTGCGGGAAGAGCCCCCCAAACAGCTCAGAAGGGAGCACCGCCACCTCTGCCGAAGCACCGAGACTCAAGCCAAAGACCCAAGCCCCATACAATTTCTACAAGCCTTGAACCTTAAACTCTACGCCGAAACGTTCCAAGTTCTACTGGCTGCCAGGTTTCATGCACAGCTTGCCGAAGCCATTGGAAGGCTGTTCCTCGGTGGAGGCATAGGTATCCCCTAGTCCTTAGTAGGGCTTAGGATTGAAAGTTGAGAATTTAGGGTTTAAGGTTTAGAGTTTAAAGGTCTAGGATTGAAGGCATAGGGTTTGTGGTTTAGGGCTGGGGGTTTAGGGTTTGAGGTTTCGGGAGGAGAGAGAAGGAAAGAAGGGGTTAGGGTTAAGGTCTAGGGTTCCAGGTTTAGGGTTTAGTTAGAAGATCTTTAAGAGAGGGCCTGTAATGGGGGGGGTCGCTTGCAAGTTACCCTTCCCTAAACATGCTAAAGCAGACCCGTGTGTTCCCCAAGAAGATATTCCCCGAAGACCCTGGAAGACGACCACAGCTCCCCTGCATTCCTGCTTGACTTCCTTGGAATTAGCCTGCATCCTCACCTCCCCTTGCTGTGAATGGGAGAGGTCCAAGAGCGGAAGGCAAGGTCGCCTAATAGATTTTCTGCTTCGTTGTGCTACGGCGATTTTCTTCATTGCTCCCAATGCCCCGCTTGCACGCAGACGTCAGCGCTCCACAGTGCCCCCTAAACACTCGCTTTCTCAGTGGTAGCGCTCTGGAAAACTTTTCAGTCCTTCATAAGGCTCCCCAGTGCTTCCCGTGCCCCACGCAACGCCCAGTGCCCGCCGTCGCCCTTGATGCGCGCGCAACTTCTTGAGGGAACGCAAGCCTGCCAAACTTGGGGTGCGTACGTGCTCTTTGGAACCCGCAACATGGCGATCCACCATGAACGTGTCATAGAGCTAGCGAGCACTTCAAGCAAAAGGCGCTCAGGGAGCGATCTGGTAGCTAAGCTTCCCCAAGCAACGGTCTCGAACCCCCTCCGTAGACACTCCCCTCTTAAGGATCTGGTAATTTAGGATTTCAGGTTGGAATTCAGGGTTAGTTTATGGTTCAGGGTCAAAGGTTTAGGGTTTCGGGTTTAGGGTTTCCAGGTTTAGGGCTCAGGGCTTGGAACGCGCAGGGAACAGAAAAGAAATTGAAACTCTTGTTCTACCTGGGTGAAGTATTTTTAACATCTGGGGGTACATGGGGGAATGAAATAAACATAGAAACCACCGAGAGTACTAATGCTTGTTGTGCAGGATGAGTTTCAGGGTTGGTGGGAATTACTATTTCTGTGTATGGTGTAGTTTAGGGTTTAGGGTTCTGAGTCAAAATGGTTGATTGAGGTAGGGAATACTGGGTCATCAAATGAAAAAACTACAGAGACTGGAGATTCCAGAGAGATGCAGGTTCCAGAGTTTTTAGATTTGAGTTGTAAGATGGCTTATTCGCACTTGGTTCGGAACGAGGGAATGGCTTCTTGAGATTATTATTGGGGCTATAGAGGAGTTAGACTACTGTTGGCATCCATGCCCGAGTTCCCAACCAAGCATGTGTAAGGAATGAAGTCAGAGGCAGTGCTGCTCTAGCTTTTGTATATCCATCATGACTGTAACTGTACCACCACGGCTACCCATACTACGTCTGCCACAGCTTCGAATGGCCAGCTCTAGCAATGGGAAGCAGCGTGTAGGCTTCTGATCATGCAGCCAAGGTCGCCAGTGCTGCGCAAAGCTGGAGGATGGTGTTGAAGAGCGAGGCGAAATTTAGCTCTGGATATCATCACGAAGCCATGATGGCAATACGGAGAGTCATGACTCAACTATCCAGCAAAAGTAAGAACAAGAGTCATCATCGCCATCATCACTGTGCTTGCAAAATATGGAGAGCCATTATCGCAGAAATGGGCTGAAGAAGCGTGTGATGTGGAAGTGGGAACAATTAAGAGGTGATGTTCCGGTTTAGGGAAATGCCGGTGATGCCGCAACAGACGTTCTGAGACTGTGCCCTGGCAAGCGTGACAGAGGAGGTGTCGGGGAGAATACGTGTTGTAAACCTTTTCTCATTGCAGAAGGTTGGGCTGGCGGCTGGCGTGTGCTGGGACGAAGTTATACCCAAGTCATGCCTCAAGCCGCCACATTGTGGAACTTGCTTGCAAACACCCCTTTAAACCCTACGCCGTGCCCGCTGTGCAAGGATCCAGCAAAAGCCGATGGGTTATGAATGTTGAGAGGAGTGTGGAAGGGGAGCAGCCTCTTTGCCGTAAAATATATAAAAATCATGATGAAATATGCTTTCATATATTATATCATCTAATTTACGATATACTATTTTATTGGTCTGTAATACTAAGACGGGGAATCTCAGAGGCTAAGTCTGACAGCTTAGATGTAGAATGCTGAGGGCTTAGGGTTTAGGGTTTGCAGGACATTGCAGGAAAATCCCCGTACCTTACGCACCCAAGGTAACGTGGAACTTCCCAAAAACCCTACAAATACTATTGTCTTTTTGAAGAGACGCTTTAGGGGGTACCATGTTAGTCTGGAGCAGGGAAGTTCCTAAATCATCCCGATAGAATCCCTACAGAACCCCTATTACAATCTGTTTGGTCAGGCCTTGACATTGACATCCTCTGCAAGGCATTGAAGCTGAATGCTACGATTGATTGAGATCGCTTAGCTCAGCGAGCGATCCCAGTATGACAGTAAAGTTTTCTGAAGCTGCTGGGTGAAATAGCCTGAAACCCTATGCAAGAGCATCTCCTGGATTTAAAACTTCTTGAACTTCGCCCTCCAGCGCGTTTCAATTTCAAACGTTTCATAGGCCCAACGGGGCCTTGCATGCTACAGGCCCTGCCACCCCAGTCTTGTTGATCTGAAAAGTTCGTGTTGCTTGTGCCTGAGACAGGCTGCATTGGGCAAGGGGCTTCTCTCGATTCGGCAGCGAGACATCAAACGGCATGTCGTGGGCTGCCCAACGTAGTGGTCGTTCAGTGGTAGCCACAGGTACCATCAGTCAGGGTTTCAGGATTCTGCATTCAGGGACCTTCCTGTGAATCACAAAAGCTATAAGAAATAATAGCAATAACAAATGATGGTATGAATAATAGTAATAAAAACCATAGAGCTCTAATCATAATAGTATGTATCATGTGTGAATTAACAACACCCCGACTGTGCTGGTGCTTGCGCACTGAAGCTCCGGCCCCGGAGACGTCGAAGCCATCTTCCTGCACCCGTCCTCTGGAGTCGCAATCGCAGTCGTCTGACTGTTGATGGACCGAATCCTGAGTTGCCCAGTTTGCATTCATTTTCCATTATCCCTATATAGCCCCTATTCTCCATTCTCCCTGTATAACCCATCTTTCGCAAGAGGTTTGGGTTCTTGAAGTCGTGAAGGGTCTAGTCCATCGACAGTATCGGGGGGATATCGGGGGCTGGAGCAGGAGTGGGTTATACCCAAAATGACGTCTAAACAACAGATTAGGAAGGATACTTTAGGACCCCTTAGCTTTTGATTCCTCTTTCGGTAGACCTCTTCCTGCCCACCCTCCTAACACCCCGATGAAGGTAGCTTTTGCCGTCGCGGCAGGCTTGCAGGCTACTTGGCCCCTTCACGGCAGCCTGCCTGGTGCAGAAGCACCAAATTCAGTTATCCTGTAGGGTGGGCAGCTCCAGGACAGGACCTGAGCAATAATCCGCTGGATATCAGGACCCAGCAGTCCAGCAATTTTCACAAATGCAGTAGGTTTTGTCATAGCTGCCTGTCAAAAACTGCGGATTTTGTAGACTACCCGCACGCGGCAATCGATTTGTAGTAAATTTGTGAATCAAGTGAGGTGCAGCAAAGCAGCTAGAGTGATGGGCAAGCACCTCTTTGCATGCAATGCTGACCCTTGAGCCGGGGCAAGAGATTCCTTTTGAAATTGGACATTCTGATGGCAGTGTCTCCATACCAGATTTCATAAATCAATCAGGGGTCAATGCTGAGCATGCAGGATTGCCGCAGGACTTGAAACGCCGCTGTGTTGTCTACCCGCCAAAAAGCGGCCTTAGGGTTTAGGGTTTAGCGTTTAGGGCAGAGTATCTCAGAATTGCTGTAGAGGGAGGCCTATAATCGCTTAAACTCCCCTATCTATCTTAGGATTCGCAGACCTCAATGAGCCTGGTATGATCAACTAGATAGAAATGGTAGTTTCCCAACATAGGGGTAGCCCAATATAGACCCCCAATATACTATAATCCTTATTACGGGGACCCCTGAAATGGTGCCCCTAATTTTAGGAAACCCCCAAATCAGGAAGGTTGAGCTACTTAGTGAGCTGAGATACATCCACGGCAGCCAGGCAGGCCGCCACAAAGTCAGATGAGCTCAAGTAAGTATTGGCCCCCTTTCAGTAGATGGAATATGTTGGGTATATTATAGTAAGATCCCCATATATCCCCTATTCTATCTACTTAAGGGGGACTATAGACATGGACGTTGCTCAGTGGGAGTCTTGGCTGAGATAGAGAGAGATTAACGCACCAAGGAAAGCAGGAGACAGGGAGAGGGAGAGTGTTCTGCAGAAAGAGAGAAGGAAGACGGCAGCTTGCCTGACTTCGTACTGTCATGAAGTTGCGCACCAGAAGTGTTGTCCGCGACATTATGGTTCTCCGGCTACCTGCCAGGCTTACTCACCTTACACCCTACATGTTGCATTGCGAACATGGGATTGCAGCTGCATGCACCCTGAAAGCAGAAGGATGTGCTTTCCTGTGTATGTTCTTCGTTCTTTCTTTCTGAGTTCTTTCTGTTTCCTTCGGGTGCTTGCTCTCAGTGTCTCCGCCGTCTTTAGCAACTCAGTAGTCCATGGCTTGCATTTGTTTTCCGAATTTCGTGAGACCTGTGGTTTGCATGTGAGTTTTTTTTTGCAGGCGCCTGTCAGTCTACGTCTCATGAGCAGCTAAGGCCACTCGCGCCCTCACTAATGCACTTCCCGATTACGCAGCTGGGCCTAATTTCAGGACCTTTGGGCCCTACAGGATTGCCTACGACACAAGGCGGTTTCGAATAAGTAGGGATCCCATTTTTGGGTGGTCCCTATAATGCAGACCGTAGAAATTTGGCGTCTACATTGTGAACCCCCTTCGTATGATAACTACCACTAGAAAAAGGTTAGATGGGAAGAACTTGCCCGGCAAGCAGGCCAGATTTTCCCGGTCTAGACCGGTTGAGAGGTACTCCCTGCAGAATTCTTACCGGCTCGTATTCCCTCCTTGTAATCCCTGTAAATGTGTGAGGGTATCAATCGAGTCTGCATGAAGGTAAGCTGTGCTTCGCTGGTACAACAGCGTCAGAAGCTGAACCAGACGGCTGTTGATCAGGCCCCGCAAGGTTTTGTCCACATCTGGAAGTGTAATTCAAGGTCCCAAAGGGCAGTTGCAGCATCCTTCCTAGAGACCCTAAACCCTAAACCCTAAATCTTGTGGGCAGACACCCCCAAAGGTGGCGCTTGATCAGACTGAGCAGAATTTGTGATACAGGAAGATTGCATCTCTTAGCAGTGATCCGGCTGGGTTCCTGTACATGTGAGGTTTGCAACAATTCTTGGAGGCCCATGGGACCCAGTAACCACTTATAACTGGGCTTAAAACCCTACTTATAATCCCCCGAAATGGGCTTATAGGGGTTCCCCCAGTTATAAGCAGGATTACAATCTCAGTTATAAGTAGTTACTAAGTCCCATGCGCCTCCAAGTTGTGTTTTGTAGGGAGGTGAATGGCTCAGAAGGCAGTCTATTTGGCCTCTTATCAGGGTTGGTACTTTGGGAAGCTGCAAGTTATGCATGTTCTGACACACCAGGTGGGGGCATTGTGGCTAGATGGTGAGATCAAATACATGCGGTCATTAAGCGTAGTTTTATTGACCGGGTCTGCAAGCTTGTGTAATTTGGGTTGGGCCCCCACCAACTAATAGTGGTATACTAGGAATATAGAAGGACCCTAATATTAATATGATTACCATTACCTCTTGTGGTCACTATGAGTGGGTGGAGGCCCAATCTAATGTATAATTCTAAATAGAGCTTTGCAACTTGCGCCTCCAGATATTCTACAGCTGCCGCCGGAGAAAAAGTTTGAGAAGCCGCCCCCCTAATGTCTGTGTGTAAATATTGATATATATACATACACATACAAACAAATATACATATTAATAAAGACACACATGCACAGTATGCCCACTATGCTCCTGTCGTCCATGTACAACCCCTATGTCGTCCATGGGGACGACGTGCATGTCCAATGTTCTTGTTCACAGTGAGTTGCTAACGGATGCTACTGGGCATGGAGGAAATCTTGTGCCACCTTACGTACCTCTGCCCTTGCCTTATTAGGATTTTTTCAAAGCAAAATCCTACGTAATCCTGAATGGCGGACTTCTAAATTCGCTTTTGATACGAATTAAAGAATCCCTTGGTGATCCATGTCATATCCGTAGGGTTCCTGAGGGTAAATTTTTTGGTTGGAACCCATACTTGCTCCATCACGCCCTAAACCCTAAACCCTTGAAATGGGAGGATGTCAGTGGTTTAAGTTCTCCCTGCATGGTGGCCCTTGACTCAGTCGAGTTGGTGAGTGAGGCTTCAGGGTCGAGGCTTTAGGGGTTGGGGGATTTCGGACTTTAGGTTAGGGTGTTTGGTTTAGGATTGTAGGGCTTTGGGTCTGGAATTGTCAGGGGTTTAGGAAAATGGGTGGTTGTCAAAATTATGGCCCTTTTTGGATCCTTATTATAGTGCGGCACCTAATATTTAGGGTACCCACACAGTGGCCCATAATTTTGACAACCACCCAAATGGTTTGCTGGTTCAAGGTTGTGGGTCACGCTTTGGCATGGCATCTTGAAGACACAAAGTGGCTGTATGGTCATTGGGATTGGGTAATGAATTTCTTGGGCGCAAGCTTACCTCAGGCTGAGATTTGTCAGTTTGTTTCGGACATTGACACATTCTGCTGGTGGGACAAAGCCCTGCATGACCCTGCTTAACCAAAACCATGGAAAATTGGCAGCATGCGCACTGAGCTGGACGTTGACCACCAACAGTAGTGTGAACATGGGTGGGGCCGCAGACCATGGCGATTCAACCTGTAATTACCCCAAACCCTAAACCCTGGGTCATCCAAACGACAGGCTACCGACCACCAAGCAGTGTCGTGTTGTAGGGCTAGGGTGTAAAGCATAGATGCGAAGACACGACATCTAACAGGGAGCATGGGACTCCGTCGTGAAGCACAGAAATTCTCACCCGATTTCCAGTGGCTGTAACTGGATTGCTTTCAGAAATTGGGCGGGCCCTTTGCAGGTGTCATTTCTGAAGGGTAGCCCAGAAAACTCCAGAGTCTTGACAGAAGGTTTATCTACTGGTGTTTATACGTAGGGGCCCTTGTTCGGACTCCTCGTAAACCCTACAGCAGGACATGTCGCATTTTCCATACCTAGATCCTACGCCAGAGCTTTACCAAGGAGTCTTCTTACATCTGCATCGTCGCGGCCTTCCTTTTCATATTATCCCTTCTTGGTTCGCTGCACTGCTGCCCTTCAGACACTTGCCGAGTCGAAGAGCTTTCGGTTTCCTTCGTTCCTACATGCGATTTTGTTAGAACATGTATCTCTTAATCTTCTCGATTGTGAGGCTTTCCCTTATGGCAGGTTGAGGAGCTTCTCCAGTGGGTTTTGGAGAAGAACCTTAGCAGGTTCCTAAGCTGGAGTGCGCTGGCCCCCATAACAATCCCTGGGCCCTAGTCCCTGGATGACATATATATATATGTATGTATGCACGTACGTATGTATATACAGTATTTACGCCACATATGATCGTGCTGTTCTTCGCTCCACTTCATGCATAAGCAAGTGAGGACAGCAAGCTGTCTGGCTGCTTAGCTGATCAGCAAGGAGTGTGCTTAATTATCGGATATCGGGCTTCGGTATAGGATTTCCATTGGATGCGCGCTTAGTAAGAGACTGTGAGGATGTCTGAAGTGAGAGAATTGAACATCTCTATCAGGAAGCCCTCGCTAAGGTCCTGCAATTTGCTTGTTGGTAAACACTGCTTGCATTAATGCGCAAGGTATATTTGAAAAAAAAACCCGCTTGTCGCTTGTAGTCCTCGATCATTGATGCCAGATCTGCGTGATGTGCTCTGTATGTAGTATGGGTCGTGGGTTGGATACACACTACACTACAATTCCAGTTTCACATTTTGCTCTTACCCCACTGCATGCATTTCTGTGCCCGCCCCGTACCAAGTGTTCTGCAAGGTTCCACAGAGAAAGCGCCAACTGCAAGAAATCCGTTCCCGGACAATGCAAAGTTCTTGGGAGTCTTGGCTGGCTGGCTGGCACTTCTATAATTTGATCTAGCATAAGACAGTCCTGTTACTATCCGAGAACAGTTCTAGTTTGAGGAACCATGTTGCATGAAGTTTCATGGGTCATGTCACTTTGATGTTAATGCTAGTCTAAAAAGGCATCAACATATCTGCTTGGGCGAAATTGGGAGCCGCGTGCGGCTGCCAAGAATGCAATAGTCAAGATAAATGCATCACTAGGTACATGTAAAGCGGACTTTCCCAAAACTACAGATCTTCATTTTTCCTCAGTTCCCCATGCCCCAGCATTGCCATATCTAAGGCATGGTGCTGGTGTGTTGGTCTCACATAGGCTCTTTCGATATTCGCGGCACGAAGATGGAAATCCACGCAACAGATGTGATCTGGTTCCACGGCTTAGTTTAGGCATTTCGAGCCTGTTGACAGCTGTACCCGTAGAAACAGTAGAACCTAAACAGCACTGCCTAAGTTGTGCCGCATAAGCCCTAGACCTGGACCTTGTAATGCTGACGCTCCAACCGCTAAATCCAAAGTTCATGTGAACTCCAGGCCCTACACATTGAATCCTCAACCAAGTTGCATATATGACCCTCATATGATCCCTCTAACCATTAAGCTATTACCCTTATATAGCCCCTATATAACCCCTATATAACCCCTATATAATCCATATAATTCCGAGGTTCCACATGCCGCTATTTATCTTCCTCTCCGGGTCCTTCTCCCGGCCCTTCTCTAGCAAGGGCTTCCTGAAATTGGTGGTGACGCTGGTGATGCCGTTGCTGCTGGGCCTTGTTTTTGCCCAGAGGGGATGGTTTCTCAAAATCATGAAAAACAACATGGAAACTACAGGGATTATAGTGGTTATTTAGGAGTATATCTTGGGGTTATATTGGGATGATGATGGAAAACAAAATCAAAACTACAGGGATTATAGGGGTTTTATAGGGGTATATATTGGGGCTCTTTCGATTCCGCCTAAGGGGATTGTACTCTTCTGGCGGCAGATGAGGAGAGTGGTGAAGGGTTTGAAATTAGCGTTCTCATTCCATTACTGGATCTGGGTTTAGGGTTTAAGTGTTTTTGGCCCAGTTGAAGGCTGTGCCAACGCACTTTTCTTCTCTTGCATGGACTCTGCGAACCCCAAGAGCTATACCTGAACCTTACGTTCCTATACTGAGGATCTTCTTCATCTCCATCATTTACCCCTTGCTTCAGTTGTTGATGCCGTCGAAAACGTGGGCAGAACTCCAATTTCGCTCCTGGTTCCCTTTTGGGATGTGGCTGTACACCGAGCCCCTCTTTGAAGGCCAGGCAGGTTTAGGCCTCGCCAGATATTGTTTTGGGTGTGCTTTTAGGTTAGGTGTTTCCTTGGGGTTACTGGGGGCTAAGGGTATATATTGTATAGGGAGCATCCTCATTCCCTAAAGTTTGGGTTTTCTGGGTTAGGGAACTACATCAGCTGTAGGTACCTGGGCGATTAGGACTTGAAGAAGTGGTCCGTTCAGCGAGATTCCAGGGCATGAAATGATTCTTCAGCAATGCGTTAGGAGGACCCCCCACCCTGTAATAGTGTTATAATAGGAATGCAATAGGACCCTAATATAGTCCTCATTATCCCTTACAATCACTATTACTGGGTGGGGGGTCCACCTAAGCAATGCGTTTAGAACATGTGAAAGCCAAGGGTTTGAGACGCTTATTACTTTGACTGTTGAGCCGCGTGGTTTGGGTTAAGTCCCCCTAAAGTAGATAGAATATTTATAATGGGATAATGGAAAAGAAAATGGAGACTACTGTTTAGGGTTAAGGGTTAAGGGTTTAGGGTTTAGGGTGATGGAATATCACATGGTGCATGTGTTTGTTTATCTCGGAGGAAGCAAGGCTCTTGCCCAGGCCATGTGATGTGTTGATAATGACCAAAACCACCACCTCTTTGATGCCTTTAAGGTTCAAGAATGTGTTTAGGCGGGTGGCGTCTAAGTGGCCAACTGCCAGGAAGCCTGTAGTTTGTTGTTGCAATATTGCGGTTAAATTGGGATAATGGAAAATAAAATGGAAACAACTATATTTATAGTGGTTATATGCCCTACTATGTGATGTATGCGTTGCTCTGCGAAAGGAGTACAATCCTCCCCGCTGACCGTATGGACGGGTGCTGGCCCGGGTTATTTCATCTGGTTCTTGCGCTGCCTTATTCTGTGGCGCTTTGTTACCATGTTTACGGTGAGATGGCCAAAGTTCCTGCAGGCACAACGTACAAGTTTGTCTTGTGAAGCTATATGGAGGGTCGCATGCAGAGTCTTTTCAAGGCTTGTGGCTTAAACCACGAAAGGACACGGAATGTAGAAGCCTAAGTCATTACCAAAATTATGAACCCAGATTCCTTGTACAATCATGCTATAGGATACTTCAAGATGGTACTGGTAGTGTTTTAGGCCGCCAAAGGAACGTATGTGAGGAGACCGGTGCATATGTTTCTTGATCAGACGTGACCAGACTGCAGCAGCGCAAGTAATTGCCTTCGGAAAGCATGACATGCAATGAAGATGCTTCTTTTGGTTGCTAGTATTCAGCTACTGGCTTAACATACGAAAAATTCTCATTTTGACTTAAAGGTTACTATCGAGCCCTGGAGGAAATACGCTCGAGGAGGAGTCCAGGCATAAACTATAATAAGTCATTCTGCCAACCCAAATGGTAGTTTGTTTCCCTAAATAAGGGGACCCGAATATAGACCCCAAAATATTAAAGTCCATCTTTAAGGGACCCCCAAAATGGTATCCCTAATTTTGGGAAACTACCGAATCCTTTGAAGCTTGACTCTGTGCAGATTGCGCTCGGTCTTTCCTGCGGTGTTCTTGGCGTCTACTGGGGTCCAGATTCCGCCAACCCTTGGGAGATAGGCACATTCGCCTACCAGCGGGATTCCCAGAATTGCTCAGGGGCAAAGTGTGCGGGTTCAGGGGTCTACATCAAGTAAGACATGATCAAATACACACACGGATTATCTCTGAACTGTTCCTCACCGACTCCTAGCTAATTAGATCTGCCCAATGCGCCCACCCAAGACTGCTACGAAGAACTCTGCATGAGAAACAGTTCCTTTCTGTAGATGTCGTAACAGCGCAGGCAATGGCAGCTTAACAGAATCAAGAATCGTTGTAACTAGCCAAATGCCCAGTAGCTGGGGGGATATGAGGTTAACTGTTAGAAAGCCCAGGTTTACCAAATGATTTCTACACTTGTCTTTACCTGTGCTGCCGTGCCTCGCGCCCCGAATCGCTCAGGCGAGCTTTGTGCCTTTTTCCTTTCTACCTCATGGGGCAGCACTTGGTGCCCAGCTGAGTTTTCAGAGTTTCTACGTCAGTCTTCGTTTTGCAAGGAAGTTGTAGCTGCCCCCGGGAGTTGACAGTGGCTGTAGCGATAATATAACCCCAATATAACCCCAATATAACCCTAATATAACCCCCTATATATCCCTCAAAATTCATAGTAGCATTGCTAACCGCTTGCCGACCCTGGGCTCCAAGTCTATAGTCTTAGCTCCTTAAAGGGGTTCTTTAGGGGAGTATGGTAGGGGTTACTAAGGGGGAGACTAGGAGTTTTGACTGTAGCTCATTTGCAGCCCTAGGGCCCTTAGGGAAACTGTCGGAAATCATTACATTCCGATGTCAGGACCTTGGCCGTCTCTTGCAAGCTGTCCCAGCACCTTCAAGCTCTTGTGTGCTACTAGTCTGGGCCACACTGTTCAGTCTGCTGCTTGGTGCAACAATGTTTCTTGGGTTCTGGTTGTTCTGTGTTTTTTGTACCACGTCCATTTTTGAGCAGGGAGAGTCTTACAGGGGGAGGGGATTCCGGGCGTTGCTTCATGCTGCCTGCTTTTCTGGAAGTGGAGTAGCGTGCTTGAGACTCCAACTGGGCAAACGTCATGAACGGCTTCCGAAATCGGGATCTTGTTTAGGTGTGTCCTTGTTACCAAAAGGTGTGCACTTTTCCGGTGTTTTCTGGGACTACGCACCAGTGTGACTTGCAGTGTCTTCTAGCCAGGCTCTCGCAAGAAGCTGTCACTGTACCTACTGCTGGCTCTTAGTAAGCCCAAGGATTTATTTGGAAAACAAGCCTGCTGTCTGGAATTCCGTGACGGATGGTGCTTTCGACGTGATTGAGACTGATACTGCCCCGTTTCTGTGCCTTGGCTGCACTTTCGTCAGCTTTAAGAGCTTCGGCCGCCGTGAAACAAGGATGGGGGGGTTCATTAGAGGGGGGGTGTTTCGCACCTAGGCATGTGGCTCTGATCATGATTGCTTTGCCCTTGAACCCTGAACTTAATTACTTTGCCAATTGTCCTTCAGCTGCACATCTCTGAGCCATGGTTGACATGTAGACAACTCCCCATAGGGACAAGTTCATGTTACCCATGTAGTGCAGTTTCTTTAAGTCCGGAAGGTAAAACGTCCATCGTGAAGTGAGGGATGGGTTTTGTATCGGAAGGATCTGCTTGGATGTCTCCCAGGCGATATCCTCCGCCGGCTCCTGGCTGCCAAGAAGACTACAAATTCCTCTGGGCCCGTTACTTTGCAGCTGTTGCATATCGATACTTTGTGGCAGAACAGAATTGAATACTGCCAGACGTGGCAGAGACCCAAATGGGGTTGTTTGGGGATTGCATAGGGATATTATGTGACGGTGGAAGAGGACATGGGAAATATTATTTAGAGTTTAGGGATTGGGGTTTTCAGGGCTTAGGGAGAGTACGCCGAGAATGGAGAATCAAATGGAAAAGAAAATGAAACATGAAGTTGAACATGAAGTGGAAGCTACTATTCAGAGTTTCTAGTTTAGGGTTTATAGGAATGGAATGGAAAGCCAAATGGCAAAGCAAATGGAAATGGACACCTCAGGCCCCTTTCGGAGTCATATTATGCGAAACCGTTCTTAAATGTGTACTATTGGTAGCAATACTACCAAGAAGAATGGCAACAGAAATCATAGCAAAGTCGCACCTCATGGCCAAAATGGTCAGTATAAGGGCAGTATTAACTGGAAGTAGTTGCAAAAACTGTAGCTGCGAGGTCCTGATGGTCGGATTGACAGGCGCTTTCCGAACAGGGAGGGCCCTTGAATTCATGCTGCCACTTTGTGCAATTCCTGTAAGCTTGCCCCGCTTTTTGGAAAGTTCCACATGCCTTTCTGAATTCTACAGCTTCAATCTTACAGTTCAGTGTCCCGTCACCCCGACCTCCTCAAGGAACGTTCTGCATGCTGGTCTTCCTGCTGTTCGGAGTGCCTCGTGGTCAGATCTGGTTTACGGAAGCAGGATCCATGACGATGCCCCTCTGCTGCTTTTGTTCATGCCACGAATGAGAGCTTCCAAACAGATTGCCGGTTGATATCTTTGTATCTGGATTCTCATGTGAGCCATAATTCAAAGTCATCAAAGGGGCTTATATACAGGATTATATAGGAGACTGCTATAGAGGATATTACGGGGGATACTAGGAGTTTAGATTCTGGCTCCGGTGAGGAAACATGATGAGGAGCCTGCCCAATTTCTTCCGTTCTAGTAACAGACAAGCTGACGGACTTGAGACTAGATGTCAAGTGTTCCACTGCAATGGACCCTGAAAACGTGTTGACATTATCACTACCACATTTTTGCCGAGTGAACTAGACAGACGATGAGCAGACCATCGTCGCACTTAAGAAGGCTATGTTCTCACAGGTGACGAGTACCAGCTTGGACTTTTAAACTCACACTCAAGTCTTGACAGAACGCATGCAAGCAGGGCTGCCGGAACTTCTGAGCGCTTGCATCACCAGAGGGAGCTTGCTGCTGGAAGCTCTCTGTGTCATCAGTCATGACAGGAGGGGATTGTTTCTGGACAAGCAAGACTCAGCCTTGATCTACATCCTTAACCCCAAATCCAATGCCCTCGTCGGCCCCACACCCCGTTGATACCGTTTGTGAGTTTCGGTGTTGCACGGGACCTAAGCTTGTTGGGCCCTGACGTATCATCATCACAATTCGTTTCGCAGGCAATCTAGAAACATCACTAGCCAACACTTGTTCTTCTCAGCGCATGGCCCAATCCTTTCCCTAATGTATACCTAGAACCCAAAAACCTAAAATCCCTAAAGATAGAATATGGGGTTTATGGGGATCTGATCTGATTATAGTATACCCAAAGCCATATTCTATCTACTCAAGGGGGGCTTTGTGTGCAACCGCGCCGCAACAAAAAACAAACAAACCTCCCTTGCTAGCCCGGCTTTCTCTGTATCACCGCAGAGTCAAGGTATGCCTACCTGCTCCACGCCCCCTTCGCCCAGTGGCCTGGTGCAGCCCTGTCCTACCTGTCCCGCCTGGATTGGCACCTGCTTCTGGGTTGCTGTTAAGGAACTTAAGTTAAGTTACCATAGTTGGTATATATAGTAGATAATAGGGTTTCCCCAATATAGTAACTTAATTTAAGTTCCTTAACAGCAACCCAGGTTTGCACTGCCTGCTGCTTTCGAGTATGCTGCTTGGCATTCGCAGAGCTAGGTCTCACCACTTCCAGCTTCGCACAAGCATGGCCCGTGGGGGGTATGCTATGTGGTAGAGAAACTCCATGCATCCCTAGTATAACACCGGCCCCATAGTAGTGGAATACCCAAATCATAAAAAGGGCACATATTTGCCAACCACCCATCTCCTGAAATCTAAGAGTCAAGCTTAGGCTGGCTTCATGGTGCTCGCTTGCCTGATGAACCTTTACTTCGTAGGTCTTGTGGCTCGGATTTGTTAGTTCACTGTGTCAGCGTCTTCATGTCAGGTAGTGCGCGGGGCTTAGGTTTATATCCCCGGACCCAGGCTATGGGGTCCTTCATTCAAAGCCCTCGAGGGTCCCGAGCCTCAACCAATTTGTGGTCCTAGTAGGCATTGAAATCTAAGCAGGTTCTGCTGCAGAGGGCTTTTCCGAAATGTTGTTATTATGCACAAGAACGAGGCATGTGGGCAGAAAGCAAATATGGCAGCATTCCATTCTGCACTTAGGTCTATGTTCTGACCACGCGGCCGGTGCGATCGGTTTTCGGCGTCTTGATCGAGCCAACTTGGATACTGCGGCTGTTGGACCACCTGTCAGCACCACCACAGAAAGAAGTGGAGTGACCATGGTGTGGACAAAAGGGGCTGAGTACCAAAGATGCAGCGGAAACATGTTGACCAGAGGCTCTATGACAGCTGCGCTTGCATTAGCCATATCGCTCGCTTCAGTTGAGCGGCGGCCAAAGCCCCTATGAAGGGAGATTTGTAAAAGGGGTCTCATATTATGGATGGTGGATGCTGCAAAAAACGGTGCGGCGCCCGTCAGCATTTCGCAGGCACATTGTTCGCGATAGCTCTCGCGATCTCGGTTTGGTAGTAATCCGAGCACTAGAACAATAGAAGGGACTATATTTAAAGATTTTTTTGGGTAGGATTTTCCTCCAAAGACTAGCTACAATTAGGTGGTTTACGGGGAAAGGGATTGAATTTAAAGAGCATTTTTGGGGAACCTTTCCTGATAAAAAAAAGAGATTTTGATACATTCCTCTTCATTTCTAATTAATAGAGGTCCAAGAGCCCCAATGACGCAGGAATGCATTCCTATTTTTTTAAATTGAGTTCCAAAAGTCCCAATAATTCTTTTAATCTGGCGCCCTCCATTTCTTATTCTGGCGGGGGGGGGGGGTCCCCCCAAATTGTTCTAGTGCTCGGATTATGGGGCGGGGTGCGGCTGGCCAGGCGCGCGTCAGTAAATACTGCGCGCGCGTCCGGAAAACCAGCGGTTTTCACTCATATCTCATTTGTGATAGCTCACTTCAGCGAGAAAAAAAAGCAGCAAGAGCTCGCGGTGTGCTGGCGCTTGGACCGCCACATTAAACCGCATGGGTCCGCAATAGTGATTGATACAAGAACAGAAGGTTCAAAGGGTTTTGGCCAGTGCTCAGTTGAACTTCTCGTCATTCTCGTCCAGCAGGTTTCAAGCGTACCAGGCATGGTAGCCGATTGTTTGCGCGTTACATAGTCACATGCGTTCTTCCTTTTTGCATCCTTGTTGCCATTGCTATTGACAGCTTGATTCCAATTGAGCAAGCTGAAGCAGTAACTCTATACTCATCCTACTCGTGCAGCACCTGTGCTGCAACCCACCCACATTAGGCTCGGCCCACACTTCGACAGAGGCATGCAGGACTTGTTACTCGTGTGGCCGATGCTATTTGCCCATCCGTGAGCAGATGGTGTATGGGTGCGTTTCCTGGCGGCTGCGCGCCCAGTATTATTCGTGAGGCTGAAGCGGAGCGCAGGTAGGAATGGGGGCTGCAAGCTCTTAGGACTTGAGGACGGTCCTGGTTGGCTCAAGCAGCGCGATAGCTTGGAAGAGGCCCAGGCTTGGTAGGTTCTTCCCCCGAGATGGCTGTAGCGAGCAAGGACAAGAATGACAACCAGATGACAGGTGCAGGAGTGGGCTGCAAGTGAAGTTGCTGCAGTGCTCCGCGTAGCAGCAAATTAAGGTTTCAGAGTGTGCGGGAACCAGCGGGTCAGTGCATTCCCGGTTGTCCCAGCCAGGATCTGGTCCACAAACTTTCGGCGAGGTCGGAGCCCGTTCAGTGCCGCCTACGCCAATGTCTGCTTCGAGGCAGGGCATGGAGGAAGCGCATCGCGCAGCATCATCTCCCTGGTCTCAAGAGATCATTTTCGGGATTCCAGCATCATCTTCGACATTGACAGTTGCACCTCCAGCATCCGCTACGTTGGCTGTCCCCTTGCGCGAACACCGTGCTGCATCATCGGTGACACCGACAGTTGCACCTGTGCACCTGACGGCTGCCAGTCCGGAGACTTGCGCAACCAACACGAGGGCTGGCGCCACAGCCGCCAGAACATCGGAGCCGTTGCGGACAAAGTCTTCCCAAGCTACGACAAAGACCAGAGTGTGGACGCAGGAGATGGCCCGCCAGGTCGAGAAATTCTCCAAGACCATGGAGACGTGACCGCAGGCTACAGGCCCAAAAGTGAAGGCCTCTGCAATGCTAGTCATGAACGGTGACATGTTGACTGATCTTGTGGACAAGGCCGAAAAGTCCTTCACAAGGTCTTTCACTGCAGTGGTGGGTGACGAGTCAGCAGGCAAAACCGTTCTGGTCACTGCCCTTCTGGGGCAGGTCATTTTGCAGGTTTTGCCGGGCGTGGGCACCACAGTACGGACACTTATAGGTCAGGTTTGTGATCTGAACCAAGTTGAGGATTTTTTGTGCGACTTGTCATACAAAGACCCCTTCAACGGAAAAGGGATGACTACAGACGATTTGTTGAAGAGGTATGTCGCGCTCAGCAGTGCGGATGTGCAAGAACCAGTTCGCCGATGCTTTGAACAGACCTTGGATGATTTCTTCACTGGTCATGAAGGAAGAGCCCCCTGCGAAAATGCATCTGTTCTCCTATGCCATGCTCTGGATACGCCTGCTTCGATTGGAGCAAGTTGTACAAGGCGGTTGGCCGCGGCCAGATGAACCTGGCCATCACCAAGTGCGACATGCTGGCAGAGCCATCCATGCTCCAAAGGCTGTCGCAGGAGATGTTTGAGAAGAGGTACCGGATCCACAAGACAGCTGCAGGGAATGATGTTGTCAAGGTCAAGCCCGGAGAGATTCTCGACTTCATCAAGAAACAGATCATGGACTACATCCCGAACACGGAGCACGAGCCTGCCCTTCCTGATCACACCAAAGTGTTCTTCGTGGCCAGCTACAAGGGCAGCGTCAGGGAGCTCTTGAACGATTCAGACCCGCGCCGACGCTGGAAGGTCTTCCTGTCGGACCCAGACAAAGGCCAAGAGAAGGCAGAACGAACCTTCAAAGACGCCTTGTACAACAAGCAGGCCTGGTTGAAACAGCGGGTGGAGCTCCTAGACGAGACGGAAGATGAGAAGCAGGCAGTCCTGGCCCAGATTGGTGTGCGCAACCTCTTCAAATCTCTCGGTGAGAAGGCAGCAGATGGCTACAAGGATGTAGCCGAGAAAATGCTCAAGCAAGTGCAGGTAAAATTCCAGGACACGCAGAGAGAGCTGTTGGATTTGGGTGGAGGCCTACCAGACGTGGACCTTGGCTGCTTGACGAAGAAGGTGCTCTGCAAGTTTGTGGAGGATTACGTCGTATCAGCCAAGTGTGAGCGGTACAATCCAAATGCTGGAAACAGTGCCTCACGTCATCAGTCTGAGCAGTCAATAGACCAGCAGATCTATGACGCTTGGCAGCAAAGCCAGTGCAATCTTGGATGGACACTCAGCGACGAGCACCAGATCTTTGACTCACTTACGTGGAAAGGGCAGTTTCCACCAAACGAAGACATGATGGAGGAGGACTGGCAAACAATTTACGATGAGCTTCTGCCCTATTGCCTGCAGGATCCAGACAGTCAGAAGGAGAACAATCTGGCGGGTCTGGTTCGTAGGTTTCTCATTGAGTTTGCCACGCTCTCCTGCTTGATTTCTCCGAAGGACCTTGATGACAAGGGCGTTGAGGCCTTGCGTGCTGCACAGAAGCCCGGCACTGCGCACCACACGCCGGATTCCACCGACCCGCTGTTTGTCTACATCCAGAAAAAATACTCAGACATCTATACTCAAGAGGACAAAGGCGTTGTCTATGTTGCCATGCGAGTCGCTCTCGCTTATTTGCTGCATGGTCAGATCTCCTTGGACATCTTGAAGGAGGTCAAGGAGTTTTCTGCAGTCTTGGGAAAGGATGGAGCAGCTGGCCAGGTAGAAACCGACTACATGCTTGCGTCTTGTTTGAGATCAGCGTCCCGCTTGCAGAACAAGGCACACCCAGTCAATCTGTGTCCAGGCGCCAGAGGGTACTCGCGCCACGCAAAGAGCAAGGCGACCATCCAGGAAATGGTTGCGCTCTCCAAGGACGCACCTTATCCGGCCCGCAACCCCTTCGAGGATTTTTGCAACATTGTTGTTGCCCACTTCTTTGACGAGACCTATGAGAACATGTTCAGGGAGCTCACCACCAAATGTCACGAAATTCACCTGTGCAGCCCGGCGTATGCTCCGATGTCCTACCACCTTGGTCCACTCTTCGTGCACCAGGATTCTGCGCACATGCTGAGGTATGGCAAGGCGAACCCCACAGATCATTTCTCGTTCCGCTTCCTCCCAGAGCTCGAGGGGTTGGAGCCGCAGCAGTACAGGAACCAGAATGGGAAGCTCTTCGACGTTACTGACCGACGACACAGCAAAGGCAGTGTCAACCATCAACCGCCTCCAGAAGGTGGGTTACAAGGATAAAGCCAAGCTCCTGAGCAGTATCATCAAGGCCAACAAGCTACCCGACACCATCGGGGCCTTTGAAAGCAGTAGCCAAGCAGGAGACTTTGATCAGGAACCCTTGAATTACGTCTGCAAGCGACACATCTCCTGCGCAGTCCACAAAACTAGGGATGATATTCTTCTGTCCTGTCACGGCCACATGTATCTGGGCTCATCATCTAATGCTGGTAAAGAGAAAGACTAAGCATCGTGTAAGGCTTCGAGTGTGGATTTGAGTCATTTGCCTTTTGAGTCATTTTGCCTGAAAAGCGACCGAGGTATGAGTTTCTCCATCCCACGAAGCAGGTGCAACACATCAAGGCTGTCATGGGGCGCTTTGAATCCCTGGCTTTGGGCTATGCCTATCCCTTTCGACCCAATGAACGCCCCGAAGCACAGGAGTACCGTGAAGTCTCGAACATCATTGAGCTTGTGTACTACCATCTGAGTGAGATCTCACAAGCATGCAGCGGGGAGAGTTCGCCGGGGCCAGGCCAACAAGAAGGCTGCTGCATCTCAGAGTTGGACTTCCAGATGAGCAAATCGCCGCTCTTTAAGCGCGTGGTGGAGCTGCTTTCCAGTGATGATGTGCGAGTGAGAACCGATGCACATTGTCTCGTGGAGCGATTGCACGAGGCTTGGAAGAAGAGCAGGACGCCGCAGCAAGATTCCGATGCCGGGAAGGAGCTGACGGACTTGGTGCTTCAGACTCTTCTCCCAGAACGGTACTCCAAGATTGATGTCGTGGCGTCCAGCGAGAGGCGCAGAAATGCTCTGCAACGGAAGCATGCCAAGCTCTCTGCATTCAAGG